GCCGAGGCCGAGCGAGCGACGACGACGGCGCGAGGGGGCACCTTCTTCTTAACCCTTTAAGAACTAAAGGAAGTGTTTCCTAATATAAGGACACCAATTTCCTCTCTTCTACCAATATGGTAAAAATGACTATTCATTTGCACTTTTGCAATGACTTTTCATTTTCCCTCCAAAATTGGTTCCCCCATTTTCATTGGTTCTTCCACTTTCCATTTTCTCTTTTTATTTCCCATTCACACATTGCTAAACCCAACACCTTTTGCTCAAACTGTGTATTTGTGTTGAACAATTGTGACTTTATATATTTATTTATAGGCATAATACATAAATATGTTTTTTAACTTGGCCTCATTTTATATTGGGGAACTTTCGCATATAGCCACTCAAAAATAGTTATAGTTTGCAAATTATGATTCGTAGCTACATGTTACAAAGAGGAGAGAGGAGAGCGAGATTGGGAGAGGGAGAAGAGAGGTGAGCAAGAGAGGGAAGAGAGTGGGAGAGAGGTGAATTGTATATGTATATCAGTTAGATAATTGTATATTATACATATGTATTTGTATGTCTGGTGAGCGAGATTAGGAGAGGAAGGAGAGAGGCGAGCGAGATTAGGAGAGGGAGGAGAGAGGCGAACGAGAGAGGGCAATAATTTGTATTATTTGCATCTCGTTTGTATAATTCACAGGTTCGTTTGTATAATTCGCGTGTTTTTGTATAATTGAGTAATATAAAGTCTGGAATTATACAAATATGATAAAACTCGAAATAACGAATTGATACAAACATAAACATATGAGCTTTAAACAATTATACATAATATACTATACAAATTTCATTATATAATTATATTATAAAAATTTCGAAAACTACACGTTTATACAAACTTTAAAAAGTTATACACAAAAAGATTGAATGTATATGGTGACAAAACTGAAAAACCACAGAAAATCATCGTCATATACAAATACAAACCATCGTATAGAAATACAAATCAAACGAAGAATTGTTAGGTGCGAATTATACAAATGTGGCTAATCATACAAACTCGAAGTCAGTCACATAATTAATGGTTAATGTTAGTTGTGAGTGGTAATTATTGCAAACTACAACTATGATGAGTAATTAAGTAGTATAAGCTTGTTTAACCGCATAATTTCCCCTTTTTATATTTATGTCCTCCAACTTAGGGTGTGCACAAGTATACAGTTGAACTTGTGTAAAGTTGAACAAGTAAACACATGAGTCCTACATGACATAATACACACAGGACACCACATATGACCCAAATTGTCATGTAGGATGTCATGTAGGATGCATGTGTCTATTTGTTATACTTTATAAAAACTCTACTTGTGCAAACTCAAAGTTAGAGGGCATAAATGCAAATTGAGGTCAAGTTAAATGATATTTTTATGTATTACACCTTATATATATTTACCTAGACATTTAATTGATAAGCATAACTAGGGGTGTTCGTAGTTCAGTTTGGATCGGTTATTGATTAAAACCAAAACGAAACCAATCTAGTCGGTTTTTTAAATTTCTAAAACAAAACCAAACCAAACGAAAAATAAACATCGATTTGGTTATTGTCGGTTTTGGTTCAGTTTTTCTGGTTTATTCGGTTTGAAAGTAATAACTTTTTGAGGACGTACGTATCTCGATAGATACAAATTTGTATTTGCAAATCTAACCTTTTCTATTACAAATTTTCACTACCATTTTGCCCCACCCTTAAACCCATTTGAAACCAAATTTTGGGCCAAAATTCATTCCCCACACCAGCCCAACTTCAATTAACCCAACCTCATTCATTAATCACAACAGCCCACCCATTTCCTAGCCCAAATTCAATTCCAACAATACCCAGCAAACATACAATACGTACAGCAATACCAAAACAGTACCCTTCTGTCTTCTTCTCCAGCGATGCAAAACCCAGAAAAATGAGAACCGCGACCCGAATCCAGACCAGCCCTTGTCCTCTTCCTTATCCATTCGTACGAGAGTATTCTCAAATAGTCAGCGTGTCCGCATCTCATCGCTCCTTCGTCCTTGCTCTTCAAATCAAGCGGCTCTCTTCATTTTGCCGTTGGAATTTGTTGAGAATTCGTACGAATGTCAGCCGTCCCAACCTTATCCTCAAAGGATTTTTGAATTTCAAATTTGAAATCCTTTTCCGTTCTACCCGATTTCCCCCCCATTTTCAGCCCTCACCCCCCTCTATAAAAGCTGGTGTTCATCTCCATTCAAAAAGTTGGAAAAAATGGAGGAGGAAGGACGATTTTAGGCAAAAGAACAGTGTTCTTATAACACCACCGAATCAACAGAACTTTGACCCCTAGTTTTTGATTTTATTTTTTGTTCTTTCGAGCTTTTTCTCGGAGCTCGCCGGAGTTCAAGGGTGGTGGTGGAATCGTCTTCGGAGTCTCGAGTCCCGGATTCGCTGCTCAAGAAAAGGTAATACTCTCGTTCTTTCTTTCCTGATGATGTGTGTTCTGGTTTGCCTTTTTTTTTTAGTAGCAATTTTCTTCCAGATTTCAAGTGTTATAATTAGTGACTTGTTACACCTCTTCACATTGTTTGTTGTATTCACTGCTTGAGTTTGGTGTATGGATTATTTGGAGATCATGCTCAATAAAGGTGCATCGATTTTGGATTTCTTTGAGATATGAATATTGTAATAGCCTAAAAAATTAACTTCTCGGCATCTCATATCAATACATATTTACCTGTTGCTTGTACTAGTAAAATTTTCATAAAAATGCTTTAAATTTCTAAGGTATATGTTGTTCATATAGCAATTTAAGGTTCACAGTATGCATTTATAAAGTTTCTTTTTGTTTTGGTATGAGATTTATTTTATTTTGTGTTATTACTGTTGGGTTTGCATTAGTTTTCATTGTGGAAGTTTTTTTTTTGGTAAATGATGTTGTGAAAACATCTTGTTGACTTCATCTTACTTAGCTAAGTTATGTAGTAATTGGTTTTGATAATTTAGATTCTGTCATAATAGTTGAATTTTGTTTAGTAATTGTTGGAATTTTTGAACCAAATCACAAAATAGTTTTGTCATCTTAGAATCATATCTTATCTGTAATCTGGAATTCATTCTTGCGCCTTCACATGTTTGCATTCCTAAGTATTTGGATTGATCTGACCTTTTCCCTTGTTCTAATCTTTAGAACGAGTCACTTGGACTCCACTCTTGCATATCCTTGAGTCGTTTCGAGTCATCCTCATAGTTGCGGTGAAAGATAGGCTGAAACAGGTTCCGGAAAATTGAAAACAAGCTGAGATATGGCCTGTATACAGCTGTATACACTGGTATACATGGTGAAAGTAGTGATATACAAGTAAAAAAATATGCATATGAGGCCCAAATTTGAAAATACAGGTTGAAGGCAGCAAAAATAGCTGGGAATTGGAGAAAGGGGAAGAGTTTTGGACAAATTTGCACCACAACCAAGAATTCTAAATCATCCAAGTACCGGAGGATTTATAAGTCATTGAGGTTGGAATTCAGCAATGGAAAGTATAGATTTTGGGGTTCCTATAATCGCCATGCCTATTCATCTTGATCAACCTATGATTGCTAGGTTGATCGTAGAATTGGGAGTTGCGGTGGAGAGTGTTAGAGATGATGATGGGAAAATTCACAGAGAAGAAATTGCGGAAACTCTTAATGGTGTCATAACAGGGAAAACAGGGGAAAATTTGAGGGATCAAGTGAGAGATATAAGCAAGAATTTAAAATCTATAAGAGATGAAGAGATGGATGCTGCTGCTCAAGAGCTAATTCAACTTTGTAGGAATAGTAATAAGTGAATCTTATGATTCAACTGACCAAATAATATTGTATGTGAGGTGTTTTTTTTTGTCTTCAAAATATATTGAGGTTGAAATAATGAGAAAAACATAGAACACCATGTACGATTCAAATTTCCATGTAAGATGCTACGTCTAGTTGGGATAAGTTCGGCTAGCAATTTAAATAAGATGAATTAATTTATGAGTTCTTAAATCTTAACGAAATAGAATAATTAACTTAACCATAAACTAATCGATTTACCTATAAGTTTATTAATCCAAAATTAAAACCATAGTTCAAACTAGAACTAATTGAATAGAATATTTATTTAAACATATTTTGATATTATTTTCCAACATTTATAAAATATACTAATTACGTATATAATTATATGAAATATATTGGTTATTCAAAACACTATAAAAATCGATTGAAATTACTTAAAATAACCTTGAAATTATTTTGAATTTTATAAAGCTAATTATTCTAAATCGTTTTGAAAATTAAGAAGCTCAAAACTAATTATTATCGGGGAGGGTCAAAATTGGGTGTCAACAAGCAGCATTCCGAAGCTGTAAACATCAACTTTGTACGAGATTGCTCCAATGCTTCTGCTAATCAACTCTGGAGCAACATATTCAATCGTTCCACGAGCAGCCGTGAGAGTCACAATGCTTTTATCTGTTGGATATAATTTCGCAAGCCCAAAGTCAGAAATCTTTGGAATGAAATTCTCATCCAAAAGAATGTTGTGTGGTTTGATGTCAAAATGCAAAATTCGTACATCACAGCCTCGATGCAAATACCCAATTCCTCGAGCCACTCCAAGAATAATGTCATACTTCCTCTGCCAACTTAACAGAGGACTTCCTTCTTGACTGGTACGGATGTACTTATCAAGTGATCCATTGGGCATGAAGTCGTAAACAAGAGCACGCTTTGTTCCCTCAACGCAATACCCCACGAGTCCAACCACGTTGACATGATGAATCCTTCCGATGGTAGCTACTTCATTCATGAAATCTTGCCCACCGGCTTTAGGCTTGCTCAACATCTTCACTGCTACATCCCTTCTACTTTGAAGCTTTCCTTTGTACACAGTTCCATAACCCCCCCTCGCCTAATTTCTCTTTGAATCCTCTTGTCATTCTCTTTATGTTGGAGTAATTGTATCTGATTGGCATGAAATTGTTTTGTGTTTGCAAAAAGCCTTCAATCGTATCGTACATTGACAAATGCCTCCTTTTGAATTTGTACACCAGAAATGCAATTACCAGCGGAAGGCCTATTACAAATTTTGCTCCCAAATGCACTGCACGTTTGAGAAGTTATAACGAACCATAGAGATGATAAAACACATATAGATTGCTAAAAGGATATATAGGAGCTTACACACGAAAAACAGAATCAGCCAACTACTGATATCTGGATAGATTAAAGTGCAAATATTTTAGAATGAGAAATCAATGGAGAGTTAAAAGTATATGTAGATAAAAGCCTTGAGTCCTCACCGGAAATCAAATCCAATAAACCTACAAAGACGTGCAAAAATGAAACTGTAGTGAGTGAATGTTAAGAATATAATTAAATAATAAAAGTGTGCTCTCTCTAACCGCTTAAGTTTTTAGATGACATGGTGATTCATAGTTTCTTACGTATAGAGGATAGAAAAAAATGTTACCCCACGAAGAATAAGAAAACTCAAATCCGTAGAGAACTACTTGATGAAAATCAGAAAGGGAAATGTTGTGAATATTAGGCCATGAGGTGAAGCCTATAAATTCTGCTCTGCATCCATCACTCACTTCAGAGACTTTCATCTCTCCAATCTTTAAATAAGTGTATCTGCTTAATTTGCAGCCACTAATTTCCACAAATGTCGAATCATTAACAGAAGATGGACATTTGAACATGAAAATGGGCGCGGGCTTTCTATGCTCTGATGCATAATAGTATGAGTTGAAGAAACTACTGTATTTTTGAATGGTAAGCTTAGAAGGTATGAGAGAACATAGATCATCTTGTGTTTGTAAAGTCGGATCTACCAGGTGAATTTTCTGATTATCATAGTCGATGCTTTGAACGTGCAACTTCATGGAGAATAACCATATAACTGTTTGGTTACCTTCACAAGCTAATTCAAATCCTGAAAAATGACAATATTTTGGATCGGTGTTTAAATGAAAAGGGTCTCTTATGTTACGGATATCGCCACAAGCAGAA